AGATATGAAGCTCGAATTGCAACCTATAGGCAGAACCTCCAATTTCAATCCAATCAGAAACGTTTCTACCAATCCATCAATGGAGAAACTGCAAGGAATCAGTCAGTACCTGACAAGGAAGAAACAGTGCAATTCTGGAAGCAGATATGGGATAACCCAAAGAAATACAACAAGGATGCAGCTTGGTTAAAAGAGGTGGATGCAAATAAAACAGAAGTTGAAATGAAAGAACTCGTAATAACAACAAAAATGGTAGAAAAAAGAGCAAAGAAAATCAAAAATTGGTCAGCACCAGGTGAAGATGAACTGCATGGGTTTTGGTTGAAACATCTAACTGTTATACACCCACTCATTGCCAAGCAATCCAACAATATACTACAAGGAGGAGAAATTGAAAAGTGGCTAACAACTGGGAAAACCTACCTAATAATGAAAAATCCAGCAAGAGGGGCAACACCAGGTAACTACAGGCCAATTACCTGCTTACCAACAACTTTCAAATTACTAACTGGTGTGGTAGCTGATGCAGTACAACAGCATCTAGTTGAAAACAATCTCTTTCCACCTGAGCAGAAAGGACACCGCCCCAATAGCAGAGGAACAAAAGATCAACTCCTAATAGACAAAATGATCTTGGAAAACTGCAAGAGAAGGAAGACCAACCTGAATGTGGCATGGATTGACTACAAAAGGCATTTGACTTTCTGCCACATGACGGATAATCAAGTGGCTATAAATAACGGAGTAATATAAACATCAGAAAAATTTGTGCAAAAATCGATGGCACAATGGAAGACACAGTTGCAGATCATGGTGAAACGCTGGGAGAGGTTAATATTCAGATAGGAAATATTTCAAGGAGATTCATTATCACCATTACTATTTGTTATTGCACTGTTTCCTCTGTCCAATACTGAATAAATCCAGGACATGGTTTATCAAACATCAAAACATCTGCTAACTTATCCCTACCTCCTTTACCATGGATGATCTGACGCTGTATGGAAAAACACCTCTGAATTAGAATCGCTGCTCACCACTGTCCGTATATATAGCCAAGATATTGCAATGGAGTTTGGCTTGACAAATGTGCCACACTTATTATCAAACAAGGAAAAATAGTGAAAACTGAAGGAATCAAGATGCCCCACGAAAATAACATTAAGAGTCTGGATGAGGAAGAGTACTACAAATACTTGGGTATCCTTCAAGCTGACAACATCAAGCACACTGAAGTCAAGAAAAAGATTAGAGGTGAATACATCAAGAGAGTGAAGAAGATCTTAAAATCCAAACTCAATGGAGGAAATACCATAAAGGCAATCAACACCTGGGCAATCCCAGTCATTAGGTACACAGCTGGAATAGTGGACTGGACTCAAGCAGAACTACAAGCAATGGATAGGCAGACCAGAAAAATAATGACAATGAATCATGCCCTTCATCCACGCAGTGACATTGATAGACTTATCTACCAAGGCAAATAGGTGGGCGTGGAATGCTACAAGTACATCAGATGGTTGAAGAAGAAAAAATGGCTTTGGAAGAATATCTGAAGAAAAATGATGAAGATGCACTGAAATTAGTATATCAGGAAGGCTTACTAACTACTGGAGAGACCAAACTGGCCTACAAGAAAGACCAAACGAAGAACAGAATAGAGGCATGGGAAGACAAAGCACTACATGGCCAATACATTAAAAAAATTAGCTGGAAAGGCAATAATAATAAACCTGGCAATGGCTTAAGAGCAGGAAATTGAGAAAGAGACCGAGGGATTAATTCTGGCTGCACAAGACCAAACCTTAAAGACAAATGCATACAAAGTCAAAATTGAGAAGACAGCAACAGACAGTAATGCCGCCTATGCAAAGAAGCTGAAGAAACAGTGGACCACTTGGTAAGCTGTTGCAAGAAGATTGCACAGACTGACTACAAGCAGCGGCATGACAAAGTAGCAACAATGGTGCATTGGAAGATCTGCAAAAAATATCATTTGCCTGTAAGCAAAAACTGGTGGGATCATAAAATAGAGAAAGTCATAGAAAATGATAAAATTAAACTGCTCTGGGACTTCAGAATTCAAACAGACAAGCACCTGCAACATAACACCCCAGACTTAACAATTGTCGATAAGAAAGACAAAAAAGTCTGGATAGTGGACGTGGCAGTGCCTGGAGATAGCAGAATAGAAGAGAAAGAACTGGAGAAGATAACAAAATACAAAGACCTACAAATAGAAATAGAAAGACTGTGGCAAAAGCAAGCAAAGGTAGTACCAATAGTATATAGGCTCCTTGGACAGAACAAAAACAACTGAGACCACTTGAACACCATTGGCATTTAGAAATTTGCTATAGTCAATTGCAAAAGGCGGCCTTATTAGGAACTGCTTTCATCCTGCGACGATACCTGTAATACCATCAAACATCCACATCTGCCTATCCCAGGTCCTGGGTAAGGACTCGATAGGTAGACAAAATACCAAATCCAGTCTGAACATCTGGCTGACTGTGCGATGATTGAGAATAATAATAATAATAATATAATAATAATAATAATAATAATAATGGACCTTGGATGTCAAATAAAAAATATGGACTAGAATAGAATAGAATAGAATAGAATAGAAAATAAAATACAGAATAGGATAAATGGAATGGAATAGAATTAGAATAAAAATACAGACTTTATTCTATTCTATTCTATTCCATTCCATATTTTCTATTCTATTCTATTCTATTCTATTCTATTCTATTCTATTCTATTCTATTCTATTCTATTCTATTCTATTCTATTCCAGTCTACTCTGTATTTTTATTCTAATTCTATTCCATTCCATTCTATCATGTTCTCTATTTTCTATTCTATTCTATTCTATTCTATTCTATTCTATTCTATTCTATTCTATTCTATTCTATTCTATTCTATTCTCTATTCTATTCTATTCTATTCCATTTCATTCCATATTTTCTATTCTATTCTATTCTATTCTATTCTATTCTATTCTATTCTATTCTATTCTATTCTATTCATCATTCCTCTATTCTATTCCAGTCTACTCTGTATTTTTATTCTAATTCTATTCCATTCCATTCTGTCCTGTTCTGTATTTTCTATTCTATTCTATTCTATTCTATTCTATTCTATTCTATTCTATTCTATTGTATTCTATTCTATTCTATTCGATTCTATTCATCATTCCTCTATTCTATTCTATTCCAGTCTACTCTGTATTTTTATTCTAATTCTATTCCATTCCATTCTATCCTGTTCTGTATTTTATTTTCTATTCTGTTCTATTCTATTCCGAGGTCCCTTCCCGCTCTGTCACTCCGTGCAAGGGGACATCCCAACAGCGGAGGAAAGCGAAAGTCTCCCGACGGCGGCGCTGCCTGGAAATCACGTGATCGAAAAGAAGAAAGGCCCAGAACGAGCCCCTCCCTCTTCCCCCCCCCCAACCACCCATAGGAAACGGGCTATTTTTTCCTTTGGGTTTGTTCATCGCCCAAGGGCCGCTCCGGGCTGGGTCGCCTCCCCCCCCTTCTCCCCTCCCCCCCGCGCCTCCCCCCCGGGCAAAAGCCAGGCTCGCTCCCTCTGCGCTTGGCCGGCCGCTTTGCAGGGCGCCCCGCCCCCCTCCCCGCCTCCCCCCAGCAGCCTTTCCATGGGAACAGAGCGGGAAGGGGGCCTCGGAGGTCATCCAGCCCAACCCCCCTGCGCGAGCAAGAGACCCTGACAGAATCAGAGAGTGACAAGAGTTGGAAGGGACCTCGGAGGCCATCTAGTCCAACCCCCTGCTGGAGTAGGTGACCCTGACAGCATCCCAGAATTGGAACGGACGTCGGAGGTCGTCTGGTCCAGGCCCTTGCTCAAACAGCAGACCCAATGCCATTTCAGACAGGAGAGAGAGAGAGAGAGAGATGGAGATAGATAGATAGATAGATAGATAGATAGATAGATAGATAGATAGATAGATAGATAGATAGATAGATAGATAGATAGATAGATAGATAGATAGAAAGGGGGGAGGAGGAGGAGGAGGAGGAGGAGAAGGGTCTCCTGCTTGAGCAGCGGGCTGAACTAGAAGACTATTCTATTCTATTCTATTCTATTCTATTCTATATTCCATTTCATTCCATATTCTATTCTATTCTATTCTATTCTATTCTATTCTATTCTATTCTATTCTATTCTATTCTATATTCCATTTCATTCCATATTCTATTCTATTCTATTCTATTCTATTCTATATTCCATTTCATTCCATATTCTATTCTATTCTATTCTATTCTATATTCCATTTCATTCCATATTCTATTCTATTCTATTCTATTCTATTCTATTCTATTCTATTCTATTCTATTCTATTCTATATTCCATTTCATTCCATATTCTATTCTATTCTATTCTATTCTATTCTATTCTATTCTATTCTATTCTATTCTATATTCCATTCCATTCCATTCCATATTCTATTCTATTCTATTCTATTCTATTCTATTCTATTCTATTCTATTCTATTCTATTCTATTCTATTCTATTCTATTCTATTCTATTCTATTCTCTTCCCCCTCCTTTTTTCTGCCTGAGCAGGGGGTTGGACTAGGTGACCTCCGAGGTCCCTTCCGACTCGGTCATTCTATTCTATTCTCTCGGCCAGGGCCAGAGACACCCCCTCCCCACCACCCGCCCCTTTTTTCCCCGAGGGAGCCAAAGGAGGGGGGTCGTCCGAGGAGGAGAAGAAAGTCGGGGCTGGGGGGGGAGGTCTCCTGCTGTTGGGGGCGGGGGTGGGGACCCCCTTGTGACGAGCGGGGGGGGGAGGCACAGCTGTCGCGCTGTAACCCCTGAGGCGGCGGGGTGGGGGTGGGGGGGAAAGGCGAGGGAGGGAGGGAGGGGCCCCGTGTTTCTCGGCACTTTCCCTCCCCTTCCCTTTCTGGGAAGGGGGGGAGGGAGGGAGGAAGGGAGGGGCGGTCCCGGGCCCAGCCCCCTCCCTCCCCTGCCCCCGCCCGCCCCGGTGGAGGGGGGGGAAAGGGAAGCGGGACGGCTCCTGGGAGGCGCGGGGAGATCCAGAGCCAGACGGGGATCGCGCGCAGCTTTCCCAGCGGCAGCAGCAACAGCGCAGGTGGGGAGGGGGCCAGAAGAATCTCCCGGGGGTCCTTCCGCGGCGGGGCAAGTGGGGAGGGGGGGCAGACTCCGGGGGGTCCCCCTGCAGGGCAAGTGGGAGGGGGCGGAGGCCCCGGGGGAGGGGTCTTTCTCCAGCGGGGCAAGTGGGGAGGGGGGGGCAGACTCCGGGGGCCCTTCTCCAGCAGGGCAAGTGGGGAGGGGGCGAGGCTCAGGAGGGGGTCCTTCCCCTGCAGGGCAAGTGGGGAGGGGGCGAGGGTCAAGTGGGATTCTTCCCCTGCAGGACAAGTGGGGAGGGGGCGGAGGCCCCGGGGGGAGGGGTCTTTCTCTGGCAGGGCAAGTGGGGAGAGGGCGAGGCTCAGGCGGGGTCCTTCCCCTGCAGGCAAGTGGGGAGGGGGCGAGGCTCAGGTGGGGTCCTTCCCCTGCAGGGCAAGTGGGGAGGGGGCGGAGGCCCCGGGGGGAGGGGTCTTTCTCTGGCAGAGCAAGTGGGGAGGGGGCGAGGCTCAGGAGGGGTCCTTCCCCTGCAGGGCAAGTGGGGAGGGGGCGAGACTCAGGTGGGGTTTTTCCCCTGCAGGGCCAGTGGGGAGGGGGCGAGGGTCAAGTGGGATTCTTCCCTGCAGGGCAAGTGGGGAGGGGGCGGAGGGTCCGGAGGGGGTCCTTCCCCTGCAGGGCAAGTGGGGAGGGGGCGAGGCTCAGGCGGGGTCCTTCCCCTGCAGGCAAGTGGGGAGGGGGCGAGGCTCAGGAGGGGGTCCTTCTCCAGCAGGGCAAGTGGGGAGGGAGCGGAGGCCCCGTGGAGAGGGGTCTTTCTCCGGCAGGGCAAGTGGGGAGGGGGCGAGGGTCAAGTGGGATTCTTCCCCTGCAGGACAAGTGGGGAGGGGGCGAGGCTCAGGCGGGGTCCTTCCCCTGCAGGGAAAGTGGGGAGGGGGCGAGGGTCAAGTGGGATTCTTCCCCTGCAGGGCAAGTGGGGAGGGGGCGAGGCTCAGGCGGGGTCCTTCCCCTGCAGGGCAAGTGGGGAGGGGGCGAGGGTCAAGTGGGATTCTTCCCCTGCAGGACAAGTGGGGAGGGGGCGAGGCCAGCGGGGTCCTTCCCTGCAGGGCAACGTGGGGAGGGGGCGGAGGCCAAGGGGGGAGGGGTCCTTCCCCTGCAGGGCAAGTGGGGAGGGGGCGAGGCTCAGGCGGGGTCCTTCCCCTGCAGGGTAAGTGGGGAGGGGGCGGAGGCCCCGGGGGGAGGGGTCCTTCCCCTGCAGGGCAAGTGGGGAGGGGGCGAGGCTCAGGCGGGGTCCTTCCCCGGCAGGGCAAGTGGGGAGGGGGCGGAGGCTCCGGGGTCCTTCCCCAGCAGGGCAAGTGGGGAGGGGGCGGAGGCCCCGGGGGGGAGGGGTCTTTCTCTGGCAGGGCAAGTGGGGAGGGGGCGAGGCTCAGGAGGGGTCCTTCCCCGGCAGGGCAAGTGGGGAGGGGGCGGAGGCTCCGGGGGGTCCTTCCGCGGCGGGCCAAGTGGGGAGGGGGTCTCCGTGGGCGGAGGGCTCTTTCGGGGGTCCAGCCCCGCCAAGGAAAGCCAGAAGGGGAGGGGCAGTGCTCCCGTTTCCTCCCCCTCCCCCCCACCCGAAAAGGGTCTTGGGGCAGAGCTGCCCCCTCAAAAAAGGGGGTCTCCCCCCACCTTCTCTCTCCTTTCCAGTCCGGAGCCGAGAGAATCCCCCCCACCCCGCGAGCATCCACAGCCAGGAATGAGCTATCGGACCACCCGCCCGGTAGGTCTGAGAAGGGGGTCCTCAAAGGGGAGGGGGTGGTGTGTGTGGAGGCTTCCGGAAAGGGGAGACCCTTTGGGGGCCTGGATAGCCATCTAGACAACCCCCCCATCATGGTCCTGTCCCCTACTTGAAAAAATAAGTCTCCGGTGCTAAAGCATGCAGTGCCCGCCCCCCCAAAAATAAATGAGGTCTCCTCCAGCTTCCCCTTTCTCTCCTCCCCCGCCCCGCCCCTTCCCTCTCCCCCTCCCTCCCTGCCCCTCCTTTCCGATGCTCCCTTCAGAGCAGTGGTTCTCAACCTTTTTAATGCCGCGACCTCCAACTGGTCGTAAGTCGAGGACTACTCAACCGGTCGTAAGTCGAGGACTACTCCACTGGTGCAGCCCCGTTTGCAGACTGGGGCTTTTGGCGGGCTCAGCAGGGCAGAGACAGCCTGGATCATTCCTATTGGCTTTGGAGAGCCAATTGAATGAGACTCTGTTCAAGAGAGTCTCTTCGATTGGCTTTCGAAAGCCAACAGAATAAAAGGGAGGAGTGCAGCTAAGGAAAAGGGGGGAAAAAATGGCGGACGGCGTTGTTTGGCGACCCCCGTGAAATGGTCGTTCGACCCCAAATGGGGTCCCGACCCACAGGTGGAGAACCGCTGCTTCAGAGCATCTCAGACAGGTCCCCTCCCCTTAGCTGGGGGGGGATGCTCCAGAGCAGCCTTGAATAGGGTTTTGGGGGACCAAGCTGTGGTTTCTGGGTCCGGGGGGGGGGCAGCTGGTTCTCTCTGCCCCACTGGACACGCCGGGGCCACGTCTGACCCGTGTTTCCTTTCCACTCTTCCAGGGAACTATGGAGGAAGAGATCAGCATGGGTAAGTGAGGAGGTCACGCCTTTGGGGAGGGGGGGCAGCACGGCTAACCATGTGGAGGGTGAGCTGGTGCCAGTTCTGTCTAATGTAAGGACCCCCCCCCACTTTGCATCTTAAGAAGACAGAACTCTTGGAATAGTTCTTCCGACAGGCATCCTTTATTAAGAGAAAACGGTTGCAGGCGTTCTAGACAGGACTTGGGGTCCAAGCTCTCCCGTTCAAGGTTTTAAGGGGTTCCCCAGTAGCCCCACCCAATCACCCCCCCTTCTTCCAGCGACAGTCTCGGGCGTTATACTCCCACCCCCTTTTCCTTACTGCCGGCGGGAGGGAGACTTCAGAGAGAACTACATGAAAGGTAATAGCCCCCTTTGTTATGGTTAGCCCTTTTGGATGATACACACATCCAGTTCCTTTGAAGTGTACCGAAGGAAATGAGGGCCATAAAGCCCCTTTGTTCACTCCCTTTCCTTCCTCGTATGACAGAATCCAGAGAAGGCGGAAATGGGGTTTTCTATCATTGATAACTAGAGATGAAATATAATTGAATTCTGACATCTGCGCGGGATGGGTCTCTCCCCATAGCGAGCAGCCAGAGCCTTGCGGGCCGGCCTAGAGGAGGGGGTCCCTTGGCCCCTCTGTGGAGACCCCCTCCTCACTCCTAAACACAGTTGCCTCCCTCCCTTCCTCCCTCCCTAAGGGGCTCTGCGGCCCACGGATGGGCCTCCTTCCACGGTCCCTGCGGGTCCTCGTTATTATTCCGTGCCAGCCTGTGCTCCCAACGGCTGAGTCGGAGGCATCGGAGGAGGAGGTGGAGGAGGCATTTGGGGGGGCCATCAGGGGCAGAGGGGGGCTCTGATGAATTACAGGACTCACAGTGTGGATGCAGAGCCTGGGCCCTCCCCAGTCGTGTTTCTGACGAAGCTCAGCTGGGTGAGGAGCAGGCATCAGACTTGGAAGAATCACAACCGATGGACTTGCTAATCGACGCTCGCAGGCGGCGTCAATTAGCCAGAGTAAGGCAACAGAGGTCCACGAAGCACCTCCAAAGTAAGAAGAAACGGCAAGGGGAGGCACTGCCTTAGGACTGCTAATTAAAGGGGGGAGGTGTGTGTGTGTGGGGGGGTGCTGGTGGCTGAAGGCAACCGTGTTTGAAAACCGCGTCTGGGAATCTTGGTTTGTGACATCTCTTGTGACTTCGTGTCCGCTTTTTCCTCGGTTTCTTTTGGACTGGCGTTTGCTGTATTTGACAGGTTCGTCGACAGAATTAAAAGGGGTTTTTGTTTTTGTTTGCAAGTAATAATAATAATAATAATAGTAGTAATAATAATAATAGACCTACAAATAGAAATAGAAAGACTGTGGCAAAAGCAAGCAAGGGTAGTACCAATAGTCATAGGCTCCCTGGGCGCAATCCCAAAACAACTGGAGCACCACTTGAACACCATTATCGGCATTGACAAATTCGCCATTAGTCAGTTGCAAAAGGCAGCCTTACTAGGAACTGCTTCCATCCTGCGATGACACCTGTAATACCATCAAACATCCACATCTGCCTATCCCAGGTCCTGGGTAAGGACTCGATAGGTAGACAAAATGCCAAATCCAGTCTGAACTTCTGGCTGACTGTGAGATGATCAGTAATAATAATAATAATAATAATAGTAAAGTTGGAAGGGACCTTGGAGGTCATCTAGTCCAACCCCCTGCTCAGGCAGGAAACCCTACACCATTTCGGACAAATGGCTGTCCAGTCTTTTCTTAAAAACTTCCAGTGTTGGAGCATTCACCGCTTCTGGAGGCAGGTTGTTCCACTGGTTCTCACTGTCAGGAAGTTTCTCCTTAGTTCCTGGTTGCTTCTCTCCTTGATGAGTGTCCACCCGTTGCTTCTTGTCCTGCCTTCAGGCGCTTTGGAGAATAGCTTGACTCCCTCTTCTTTGGGGCAGCCCCTGAGATACTGGAACACTGCTATCCTGTCCCCCCTTGTCCTTCTCTTCGTTAAACTAGACATACCCAGTTCTAGCAACCGTTCCTTATGTGTTAAGTTCCTTCTAAGTCTCCAGCCTATTGTAGGAGCAGGGGTTTTGTCCTTGTGAAGTTAACAAGGATGACAATAGGCTGGAATAGAACAGTCCTTCAGCTCTCGGAGACCTACGTCGGACAGAGTCTGGTGACAGAGAAAACGCAGGATCACCGCAGAAGGAAGGCGGCAGTCTCACCGGTGGGCTGGGAGCAACAGGCAGGCAGGAGGAAGGGGCTGTCCTGGGGAACTCATGTGGGTGGGGGGGTGGTGGCCCCCAAGACCCATTTCAGCCAACCCCTTGGATCCAGCCCCGGCAGTCGGAATTTCCTCGGGCCCGCACGGATCGTCTTCCCCGCCGGTTTAATGGCACTCTGTCTGAAACAAACCAAGTTGGAAGCCGGCTTGCAAGCTTTGGGGGTGGGGGAGGGAGGAGGGCGAGCCTGCCTCTGCATCCTGCCCCCCCCAGCCCAGTGGGTCAGGCGTCCTCCCGCACCTCTCCACCAGCAGCCCTGAATCTTTTCCGGGTCACTCCGCTCGCTCGGATTAAAGCTTGGCCGGGGGGGGGGCTGGACACAGTGGCCGTATTCGGACATCATGTGGGTGGGGGGCTTATATGGCGCTCAAAGGGCTGCTGGGACCAGACCAGTGGTGCTCAACCTTTTTAATGCCGCGACCCCCAACCGGTCGTAAGTCGAGGACTACTCAACTAGTGCAGCACCGTTTGCAGAATGGGACTTTTGGCGGGCTGAGCAGGGCAGAGACAGCCTGGACCATTCCTATTGGCTTTGGAAAGCCAATAGAATGAGACTCTATTCGAGAGAGTCTGTTCTATTGGCTTTCAAAAGCCAATAGAATAAAAGGGAGTAGCCCAGCTAAGGAAAAGGGGGGGAAAAATGGCGGACGGCGTTGTTTGGCGACCCCCGTGAAATGGTCGTTCGACCCCAAATGGGGTCCCGACCCACAGGTGGAGAACCACTGGACCAGGGGGTAATTTCCTGACTTGGAGCTTCATTGTTTTATCAGTGGAGTTTTGCTAAAGTGGGGTTCGCACTTTGTGGGAATCTACACAGCAGAGTATCCCATTTTAGGGACTCTGGGAGATTCACAAAAAAAAAAAAAACATTCCTGAAGCATGTCAGGGCAGGGGTGACTCTTTTCCAAAATTGTCCCCATTTCCCAGCCTGCTCAATGACACCCCAACATGTCGGATCACGGCCACACCTTTCTTCCGGGGCATGTGTGAAATATCTCGATTCCTTTGTGTAACGTCGTCTTCCAAACTCACAGGGGAGGACGCCGAACTCCGGCTGATCCTGGTGGGGAAGTCCGGAGGCGGGAAGAGCGCCACGGGCAACACCATCCTCGGCCGGCCGGTGTTCAAGTCCATCCTGGAGCCAAACACCACCACCGTGAAGTGCCAAAAGGGTGAAGGAAGATGGCGGGACAGGAAGATCTCCGTGGTCGACACACCCGACATTTTCAATTCTGAAAACCACAGTGAGATTGTGCAAAATGAGATTGCGGCTTGCGTCCAACTGTCCCGGCCTGGCCCTCACGCCCTGATCTTGGTGACCCAGGTGGGGCGCTTCACCGCCGAAGATGTGACAGCTGCAAAACAGGTCTTGGATATCTTTGGGGACGAGTCAGCCAGGTGCACGATCGTCCTCTTCACCTGCAAGGAGAATTTGGGAGGGGAATCCCTGCAGGAGTACGTCCAAAGGTCGGACAGCCACAATCTGCGGGAGGTGATCTGGCGGTTTGGGGACCGCTTCTGCGGCTTCAACAACAAGGCCACCGGAGCCGAGTCGCAGGCGCAGGTCTCGGAGCTGATGGAGCTGGTGCAGAGAGTCGTTTCGGAGAACGGGGGGAGACACTACGTCAGCTGGATGTACGACATCCCCATGGTATGGGAGCAGCATGCCATAGAGCGGAATCAAATGGCAGCGTGGAAGTGGGCGAGGGCAGTGCTCTTTCCGGGCATCTGATGGAGCTGCTCCGTTTACACGAGAGCAAGGGGTCTCTCCTCTCTGGGAGACTCCAATGGGTGGGTGGGACAGCAGAGACACTCACGTTAGGACAGGCAATCGGGGAAGTGGAAGGGTGGTTCATGGGTGGAGAGCATGCAATGCCCCCCCCAACTCTACCTCCCTTTTTTCTCCTCCACCTGTGTCCCCCGCCATCCCTTCCTTCTCCCGATCCCTCCCTGCCCCTCCTTTCCTCCCTTCCTGGGTCCCATCAGAACATCGGAACCCTTCCCTCCCCGGTTAGCTGGGGACAGTGGTGGGATTCCAATATGTGAACAACTGGTTCTCTGTGTGAATGTCGCGTCCGGAAGTCCATTCTGGGCCTCGGCAGCAAAAAATTAGCTACCGGTTCTGCTGAACCGGCTGAATCTCACCACTGGCTGGGGGGATCCAGAGCAGCTTCTGGGTGATGCCTTGAATGGGGTGGGGGATCAGGTTGCTGTTTCTGGACATGAACGGGGTGGCAGCTGCCCCCCGTCCCACTGGACACGCCGAGGCCTCTGGGAGTCGAGACCCCTGTCTGACCCGTGTTTCCTTTCCACTCTTCCAGACAGCGACGGATGACGAGGCCAAGCTGGGTAAGTGAGGAGACCACGTCTGGCGTTTGGGGGGGGGGGCTGAAGAGGAACAAAGAGGATTCGGAAGCTGGAGCCTAAAACATCGGAAGATCGGGTGCAGGAATTGGGATTAGCCAGTCTAGAGAAAAGAAGAATGGTAGGGGGACTAGATAGCATGATTCCAGTATTTGGGGGGGGGGGCTGCCACAAACAGCACTCCTGACTAGTGCTGATGATGTTACTTACATGGGTCATGAAATGTCTGCAAGAAAACCACCCAGCTCAGAGGTCCATTGAGGACCCCCATTCTTCCTCCTCCTCTTCCTCCTCCTCCTCCTCCTCCTCCTCCTCCTCCTCCTCCTCTTCCTCCCCCCTCCCTATATCCTGATCTTGAGGCAAACTAGATACTGCCTGAAACCTAGAGCCAAACACAAGCTAAGGTATCAGTCTGGATGAGACACGCACACACCAACACATATCCCCGGCTCCTATCCAGTTCCAGATTCCGTGATGGATGCTCCTCTTCATCATGCTGATGGAGAACGTGAAGAAGCGACGATAGAAGATACGGCAGCAGGGACACCAGGTCATTCTTCTCATCTCCTTGACATAGGGGGGGTCTCTTAGTGCAGGGGACCCCCCAAACGTTTGGGCACCAGGGACCAGTTCTGGGGACCGGGGTGGGGGGGGGTGCCTTGGTTTCGTGTGCTTCCCTTATTTGCGTGGCCCGGGTGCTGGCAGACTAGATGGTGCCTGAAACCTAGAGCCAAATGCAAGCTAAGGTATCAGGCTGGATGAGACACGCACACACCAACACACATCCTCGGTTCCTATCCAGTTCCAGATTCCGTGATGGATGCTCCTCTTCATCATGCTGATGGAGAACGTGAAGAAGCGACGATAGAAGATACGGCAGCGGCGACACCAGGTCATTCTTCTCATCTCCTTGACGTAGGGGGGGTCTCTTAACGCAGGGGACCCCCCAAACATTTGGGCACCAGGGACCAGTTCTGGGGACCGGGGTGGGGGGCGCCTTGGTTTTCGTGTGCTTCCCTTATTTGCGTGGCCCGGGTGCTGGCAGACTAGGTGGTGCCTGAAACCTAGAGCCAAACGCAAGCTAAGGTATCAGGCTGGATGAGACACGCACACCAACACACGCACCCCGGCTCCTATCCGGTTCCAGATTCCGTGATGGATGCTCCTCTTCATCATGCGGGTGGAGAACGCGAAGAAGCGACAATAGAAGATATGGCAGCTGCGACACCAGGTCATTCTTCTCATCTCCTTGACGTAGGAGGGGTCTCTTAGTGCAGGGGACCCCCCAAATGTTTGGGCACCAGGGACCAGTTCTGGGGACCGGGGTGGGGGTGGGCGTTGGTTTCGTGTGCTTCCCTTATTTGCGTGGCCCGGTTGCTGGCAGACTAGGTGGTGCCTGAAACCTAGAGCCAAACGCAAGCTAAGGTATCAGGCTGGGTGAGACACGCACACCAACACACACACACAACCCGGCTTCTATCTGGTTCTAGATTCCGTGATGGATGCTCCTCTTCATCCTATGGAGGGAGAATGGGGAGAAGTGGCGATGGAAGGTACGGCCGCACGGAGATTTTGACGTAGGACGGGTCTCTTAGCATAGTGGCCCCCAAACGTTTGGGCACCAGGGACCGGTTCCATGGAGAGGGGTTTTTTTTTTGTGGACCGGGGTGGGGTATGCTGGTTTTTGTGTGCTTCGCTTATTTGCGTGGCTCAGTTGCCGGCATGCTGTGGACCAGTGGCGGTTCAGGGACCAGGGGTTGGGGACCCCTGTCTTAACGGCTGTTTTACATTATGGTGGATCCCACCCCCCCAAAAAAGTTACTTAAGATCCGATCCTGAAATTACAGTCCCCCCAGCATCCCAATGGTCGTTCGCACTTCTGACTGACCCCAAGGACACTGCAGTACCCCCCCTACCTATTCTACCCATCCCGCCACGTGGTCACTTCAAGCATTTCCCTTCCCCAACACGTCCCCGCTGGTCTTTCTCCTTCCACACCAGGTCCCCCTAAGCCAGGGGTCGGCAACCTTAAACACTCAAAGAGACACTCGGACCCGTTTCCCACAGAAAAGAAAACACTGGGAGCCACAAAACCCTTTTGACGTCTAAAATGAAGATAACACTGCGTCTATCGTTTTTTTCTTTTTACCTTTATGCTACGTATAAAAAAACTGTAGCGTGTTGCATTTATGAAATCAATGAACTACTCTCTCTCTCTCCCTTTCTCTCTCCCCTCTCCCTCCCTCCCTATCCCTCCGCCTCCCACCAGCCTCTGCTACAGTTCACATACTCTCTCTCTCTGCCAAATGACACTGCCAAATGAATAGCTCCCGCCGCTCCGGCCGTAGCGTGTTCGCTTCTCCCTCGCGCTCATCATTGCGCCCCCCCTTTCACCAGAATCCCCTGCATAGAGTTGGATGAGGCTTCTCGAAGTGGAGGGGGCTACCGCCCCCGAGTAACCGATTGAAGGAGCGGTCCGGGTGGGAAGGGGGTGGCCGGAATGCAGCCCAGAGCACCTTTACCTTGCATCAGCCTTATCGTTTCTGGCTGCTTTCCTCGTGCTAGCAGGGGGTGAACGAGGCAGGCGCCTTGTGCATAAAAGGTTCCCGCCCGCTGGAGCGAACCCATGCCGAAACCAGTTGAGAACCGGAATGGCTCTCATTTCCTCAGGAAACACCCTGTCATGGTTCCGACTAATGGAACACTTCAAAGAACGTCCAGGCATTGTTTATCCTAAAAAAGTCTTTATTCGTGTAACGACGTGTCGGCACGGCCTGGAGGATACCAAGATCTGAATTCCCCTCCCCTGAGCGCATATTTTGCCTGCATATTTCCCTCCCTTAATTTGCTGTCGCAAATCACAATCTCCAATCAGTTTGAAGGGCAAAGGTTCCCTTCCGTTTCTGTAGCCCGCGTTTTCCTTCTCTTGACTAATCCCCATACACATTCTTTCTCCTCCCCTCCCAGCATCATCTAAGTTAACTCTAAAAATACCACACAGCTCTGGATATTTTGTCAAAGCAAGAATTTCCAATGTGAGCAGCGTTGACATACCCATGCCCTAAATGTTTCCCTCTGGCTTTAATCGGATCCTCACACACCACTAGGCTCCTACATTCCACCTCCCTTAGCAATAGCAATAGCACTTATATATCGCTTCACAGTACTTCAGAGCCCCCTCTAAGCGGTTTACAGAGTCGCCTTATTGACCCCCCACATTTTAGCGACCACGGAAGGACGGAAGAGCTGAGTCAACCTTGAGCCAGTCAGCGTCGAACTCCTGGCAGTGGGCAGAGTTTGCCTGCAATGCTGCATTCTACCCACTGCGCCACCAGCGATCATGGTGGCGCAGTAGAGGCTGTTGAGCAGGGGGTCAGACTAGAAGACCTCCGAGGTCCCTTCCAATATTATGCCCGTACCGTGGCCCAGGACTATCGTCACGCAGCACACACCAGCAGCCCTGAGCCTCTTCACAGCTCAGTCTCAATTTGCTTGGCTCCAGCTTTGCTCATGGGGGCTGGACACAGTGGCTGTATTTGGACATTGCTAAAGTGGGATTCGCACGTTGGGGGAATCTGCATAGCTGAGTAGCCCATTTTAGCAACTCCGAGAGATTCAGATGAAAATATCACTGAACCACTTTCAGGGAGGGATGACTCTTTTCCAAAGTTGTCCCCATTTCCCAGCCTGCTCAATGACACCCCGACATGTTGTGAGGAATATCTCGATTCCTTTTTGTAACGTCGTCTTCCAAACTCACAGGGAAGGACGCCGAACTCCGCCTGATCCTAGTGGGAAAATCCGGAGGCGGGAAGAGCGCCACGGGCAACACCATCCTCGGCCAGTCAGTGTTCGAATCCATCCTGCAGCCAAACACCACCACCCTGAAGTGCCAAAGGGGGCAGGGAAGCTGGCAGAACAGGAAGATCTCCGTGGTCGACACACCTGACATTTTCAATTCTAAAAACCACAATGAGTCTGTGCGATGCGAGATCGGGGCTTGCGTCGAACTCTCCCGGCCTGGCCCCCACGCCCTGATCTTTGTGACCCAGCTGGGACAATTCACCCCTGAAGATGTGACAGCTGCAAAGCGTGTCTGGGAGATCTTTGGGGACGAGTCCGCCAGGCACATGATCGTCCTCTTCACCTGCCTGGAGGATTTGAGATGGGAATCCCTGCAGGAGTACGTTCGAAATTCCGAGAACCGCAATCTGCGGGAGCTGATCCGGTGGTGCGGGAACCGCTACTGTGGCTTTAACAACAGGGCCACGGGAGTCGAGTGTCAGGCGCAGGTCTCGGAGCTGATGGAGATGGTGCAGAGAGTCATTTCGGAGAACGGTGGGAGTCTCTACATCAACCGGCTGCATGAGGTGCCTGAGGTACGCGGATCAGCGTGTCGTAGAGTAGAATCAAATGGCAAAGTGGAACTGGGCGAGAGCGGTGCTCTTTCTGCCCGTTTACACGAGAGCAGGGGGTCCCTCCTCTCTGGGAGAACCCAATGGGCGGGCGGGACAGCCGAGACCCTCATGTTAGGACAGGCAATCGGGGGGGGGGGGGGAGGCAAATGGCCGGAGGTTAGTAGCCGAGCTCCATTCATTAGGAACCGGATGGCTGAATCGCTCAGGATCCCTTCTTCCTTGTTAGCAAAAGAAGGCAGAGAAGTGGGGGGAGAACAAGGGAGGGGACTGAGCTACAAGTGGGACACAGAAGCACCTCTGTTGTTGGGGGGGGAGTTCTAGGTAATTTGGGGAGGGGGCTTTCTCCTTTTCTGAAGTGTCTGCTGGGTCCTGTCCAGGCACTCAAACAAGGGGAGAGCCGGAATTGAGGATAGGGAGGGGAGACCTTCTTCCAAACTCCACACCCACCCACAGGACCCCCAATCCCATCTCCCCCCCCCTCCGCTAGGAATCCTTCTAGTGAGATTCCCAATTGTGGCCCTCCTGGAGGGGTTGGGCTGTTTTGTCTGGGGCGGGCAAGGGGGTGGGCTGTTTCTGCCTGGAGGCTCCAGTTGCGGTGTCCAATGAGGCACCTTTCCCGAAAGCCTTTCAGGGACTGGGGTGGGGGGGGCAGGTGAAGGCCCAGCACTGAAAGGCCCCATCCAGGAGAGGCGAAGGAGGATGTGGGTAGGCATTCCCCCCCCTCACTGTAATTGCTAGCCCTGCTCCACTGCCCTGGGCAGTGGGGTCCTTCCTCAGCCAAACCAGAACAGGCACCTCTGCCCGGCCCAGAAACTGGACCACCGTCGGTGGGCGGAGTGTGGGCTGTGCCCGCATTCGGCCTCTTGGGGGCGCCCTTGTTTTCCTGCTTGTCCGCCAGCTCTTCTTCCGGGATGGAGCTGGCCCGTCCCATTTGGGGGTCTGTGCGGGACCCAGGAGGAAGGAATCTGTCCGAGCGTGCAGAGTCGTATAGCGCGAGATAAGCCACGAGTAAACACAGTAAACAGTGGTCTATAGTAAATGGTGGTTTGTCTTACACTATCTACAATATCATACACCAGGAGCAATCTACATGCACGTGCTAATAGAGCAGGATCCAACACACCAGAGTTACAGCAGGAAACGGAAGGGAGAGAGGACACATCAGCAGAGCTTTCCTTTTATGCGAAGGCTCTTCAAGAGACACAGACCCTGCTGACTCATTCCCATGGTTACAATTTACATCTTACGTTCCATAAGCTGGTTAGCTGTTCAATCATTACCTTGACAGAATCCCCTTCCCCAAACCCTTTAGAGGGGTGCTCTTGGCGAGCAGTAGGGGTAGTCCTCGGCTTACCGGCCATAAGTGAGCCCCAAATTGATGTTGCTAAGGGAGAAATTGGTCGAAGGGAGTTTGCCCAATTCGATGTCTTTTCTTGCGGCAATCATTTAGGGAATCGTTCAGGGGGAGAGAAATGATAGATACATAGTGATAGATAGATAGATAGATAGATAGATAGATAGATAGATAGATAGATAGATAGATAGATAGATAGATAGATTAGATAGAGACAGACAGACAGACAGACAGACAGGCCCCTTCCAATTCCCCCAAAGAGTGGGGGGGATGGAGAGAGAAATCAGGATGACTCTACCTCAAGTGAGGAGGGGGTGACTCTTTGTTAAGCCCCCCTCCAATTCCTGCCTGTGTCTTCTGGGGGGGGGGGAGAAGAGTTCCTGGGAATTTCTGAGCAAGGCAAGGCTCTCCTTTGGTGTGACTCGCTTTCTCTTTTCATGCAGACACTAGATTTGTGCTGTGCGGCTTGTCTGGAAATGGCTGGAAGCATCCAAGGTAAAGTCTTGGGGTGGTGGGTGGTAGGTGGGAGCTACTGTCCTGGGTGGAGGGACAGGCGAGGATGGCTGTACACTGCTGATGGGAAATGAGGGATATGTCAAAAGCAAGAATATACATTCTTGCTTTTGACAAGATACACACACACACACACACACACACACACACACAAACACACACACACAGAGAGTAATAATAATGGCGACAACGATAATGATGGCTAGAGAGAGAGAGATAGTAATAATAATAATGACGATGATGATGATGATAGCTAGAGAGAGAGAGTGTAATAATAATGACGACGACGATGATAGCTAGAGAGAGAGATAGTAATAATATGACGATGACGATAGCTAGAGAGAGAGATAGTAATAATAATGACGATGATGATGATAGCTAGAGAGAGAGAGAAAGATAGTAATAATAATAATAACAACAACGATAATGATAGCTAGAGAGAGAGAGATAGTAATAATAATAATGACGATGACTAGATAGTAATAGACTAGAGAGAGAGATAGTAATAATAATGACGATGACGATAGCTAGAGAGAGAGATAGTAATAATAATGACGACAATGATGATAGCTAGAGAAAGATAGTAATAATAATAATAACAACAACGATAATGATAGCTAGAGAGAGAGAGATAGTAATAATAATAATGACGACGACGATAATGATAGCTAGAGAGAGAGAGATAGTAATAATAATAATGACGACGACGATAATGATAGCTAGAGAGAGAGAGATAGTAATAATAATAATGACGATGACGATGATAGCTAGAGAGAGAGATAGTAATAATAATGACGATGACGATAGCTAGAGAGAGAGATAGTAATAATAATGACGACGATGATGATAGCTAGAGAAAGATAGTAATAATAATAACAACGACAATGATAGCTAGAGAGAGATAGTAATAATAATAATGACGACGACGATAATGATAGCTAGAGAGAGATAGTAATAATAATAGTGACAACGACGATGATGATAGCTAGAGAGAGAGAGAGAGAGTAATAATAATAGTGACGATGACGATAGCTAGAGAGAGCGATAGTAATAATAATAATGATGACGACGATGATGATAGCTAGAGAGAGAGATAGTAATAATAATGGCGACGACGATAATGATAGCTAGAGAGAGAGATAGTAATAATAATAATGATGACGACGATAATGATAGCTAGAGAGAGAGAGAGAGAGAGAGAGAGAGAGAGAGAGAGATAGAAAAATGGATAGACAGTGAGTGAGTGAGTGAGTGCCAGGAAAGTCAGCAGATTCAGGCAGTTCAAATTAGTATCATGATTTATAGCAAGCTTCAGTTCGCTACAAGAATCTGACCTACTAACGGATCAAGGGAAATGAACGGGAGATAAGAAAGGCACTCAAGGTGGACTGGATTTAGATCTCATGTTGACGGGCAGGGATGCATGACTGAGGACGTCTTTGACCCCACCCACGGACACAGCCTGCTCATCTCCTCCAACGTTGCTGACCGATCCCTTTCTTCTCTCCTCCCCCCCTTTGTGTCGTAGAACCCGAACGGAGGATTGTCCTGGTGGGCAAAACCGGGAATGGGAAAAGCGCGACGGGAAACAGCATCCTGGGAGGCAGACACTTTGTTTCCGTCATGTCCCCTAAGTCAGTGACGGCGACTTGCCAAAAGGTGGAGAAGACCTGGAACGGCCGGAAGATTATGGTTGTTGACACTCCTGGCTTTTTCGACACCAAGGTTTCAGACAAGGAAACTGCTGCCGAAGTGAAGAAGTGCGTGAGCATGTGCAACCCAGGTCCGCACGTCATTCTGCAGGTGATGCGTCCTGGCCGTTTCTCCAAGGAGGAAAAGAAGGTGGCGAAGCTGATCAGTAAAATCTTCAGCTTGAACGCCAAGAATTACATGATCCTCTTGTTCACCCGGAAAGAAGACCTGGAAGGAATGAGTCTGGAGAACTTCCTATCTCAGGGTGACGACTCGCTTAAAAGACAGACCAAGCAGTGTGGACAACGCTACCTGGCCTTCAACAACAAGGCCGAAGGAGAAGAACGGGAGGAACAGATGGCCGAATTGATGACCATGATCGATCGGCTCGTAGACAACAACGGAGAAGCTCCTTGTTACACAGAAGACATGATGAAGAAAGATGGAAAGCACTACAAAAAGTGTTCTATTCTCTAACAGACACCAGAAAGAATCTCTACTGGATCCTCTGCTCCATGGGGGCAGCTCTCCCCAAAGCCACAGCCCCGCGTTTTCCCCCTTCTGCTCTGAGTTCTAATCCAGACCTCCGAAGAACCCCAGTCAAGAGATTCGTGGTTGACTCTCCCTCAGAACCCGGTTTCTCCTCTCGGATGACGGGGACTTCCTACAGTGGGAAGATCCTGTTCCCCCCTTCCAGTATCAGCTGGCCCCACAGCCTAATACTCTCCCATCCTGGACCCTTTCTTTTGGACCTCTCAGTCCTTCGAGGTAGACCAGACCAGGAATCCACCAACGCAAGAAATATTAGAGCTGGACTTTATCAGTAGAAACGACAGCAGGAGAATCTTGAAACCGTCTCAACTCCCGCTGGCACCAAAGCGCATCAAGGCCAGGCAGCCTTGAGGTTCTTTCTCATCCTTTCCTGCTTTCCTGGGGAGAATTCGTGTTTTCCTAACACAGTGGTTCTCCACCTGTGGGTCGGGACCCCATTTGGGGTCGAACGACCATTTCACGGGGGTCGCCAAACAACACAGTCCGCCATTTTTTCCCCCTTTTCCTTAGCTGTGCTACTCCCTTTGATTCTATTGGCTTTCGAAAGCCAATAGGAATGGTCCAGGCTGTCTCTGCCCTGCTGAGCCCGCCAAAAGTCCCATTCTGCCAATGGTGCTGCACCAGTTGAGTAGTCCTCGACTTATGACCGGTTGAGTAGTCCTCAACTTACGACCGGTTGAGGGTCGCGGCATTAAAAAGGTTAAGAACCACTGTCCTAACAGCTGCCTTGATCTGTTCCTTCTTTCCACTGGGCAACCGGGAGAGTCAGTAGGGAGGGCGTTTCTGTGTCAACCAAAGAGCTTACTAAAACATCTCTTTGCTTATGAAAAAGGCTGTGTGTGTGTGTTTTTTTTTGGGGGGGGGGGAGTTGGGAAGACCGTTGAGGTTGGTCCACTCAGCCTAACCATCTCCGTGTCTTGATGGGCTTAAAAGGCCGAGGCGAAAGCGTTTGCCCGTCGCTCCCGCTGGTACCAAAGCGCATCAAGGCAGGGCAGCCTTGAGGTTCTTTCTCACCCTTTCCTGCTTTCCTGGGGTGAATTCGTGTTTTCCCAACAGCTGCTCCGTGTTTTCTTCAAGGCCGTCTCCGTACTCTTCTATACCGCCGTCCATGGCGAATGTAGACTAACGAGGGAAATCCTGTCTGTTCTTATTCAAATCTTCTCGTTAAATCTCCTCGCTGAAGGAAGGGGGCCGTGTGTTTTGAAGGGGAGATTTGGGGGAGAACAGTCGGGTCGCTCCCCTCCAGCCTAACCGGGCCCGTGCAGCAACGCACTCACAAAGCCGAGGGGGAGGGGGAACAGGGAATGAGGGGGAATCCAGTCCAGGGGTGGGTTTTCCCCCCAAATCATTCCACCTTGGAAGGGGAGGTGTGTGTGTGTGTGTGTGTGTGTGTGTGTGTGTGTGTGTCCCTTCTCCGACGGCCTCCGTTGGGTCCTCCCACCTTTGCCGTTGTTCCCTTTCACTTTCTTTTTTTATTGCAAATTTTTTTTATTTTCGATTTTCCAATATAGCATAAAAAAATACTTCAGATAAAAAATTAAAATAAATGGATACACACCACTTTCGGAATCGCTCACCCGTCTCCCCCCAAACCGCACCCACCCTCTGCCCTCTTCTCTCACTTCCCTCTTTCTCCCTCTTCTTCCTCACTCTCCTCCTTCTCCTCGACCTTCCTACTCACTTCTACCCTTCCTACTATCTCATCCTACTTCGGATGCTGTCCACGGGAAGTGCCCGAGCAATTCCTCTCTCCAAATTGAAACCAGATGGATCCGTAGCTGGCTGACCGGCCGTACTCAGCGTGTGGTCCTCAATGGAACTGCATCTATATGGAGGGAAGTGTGTAGTGGGGTGCCCCAGGGCTCTGTTCTGGGCCCAGTGCTCTTCAAGATCTTCATCAACGATTTGGACGAAGGGATAGATGGGGAACTCATCAAATTTGCAGACGACACCAAGCTGGCAGGAATAGCCAACCCTACAGAAGACAGGCTTAAGATACAGAAGGATCTGGACAGACTTGAACACTGGGCACTAACTAACAAAATGAAATCCAAGGGTGAAAAAAGCAAGGTTCTACATTTAGGCAAGAAAAACCAAATGCACAAGTACAGCATAGGTGGCACCATGCTCAATAGTAGTAACTGTGAGAGGGACCTCAGAGTCCTAGTAGACAATCCCCTAAATATGAGCCAGCTGTGTGCTGCAGCTGCCAAAAAGGCCAACACCGTGCTAGGCTGCATTAACAGAGGGATTGAATCAAGATCACGTGAAGTGTTAATACCACTTTACAAGGCCTTGGTAAGGCCACGCTTGGAATACGGCATCCAGTTTTGGTCACCGCTATGTCAAAAAGATGCTGAGACTCTAGAAAGAGTACAGAGAAGAGCAACAAAGATGGTTAGGGGACTGGAGGCTAAAACATATAAGGAACGGTTGCTGGAATTGGGTTTGTCTAGTTTAACGAAGAGAAGGACGAGGGGGGACATGATAGCAGTATTCCAATATCTCAGGGGCTGCCCCAAAGAAGAGGGAGTCAAGCTATTCTCCAAAGTGCCTGAAGGCAGGACAAGAAGCAACGGGTGGAAACTAATCAAGGGGAGAAGCAACCTAGAACTAAGGAGAAACTTCCAGACAGTGAGAACAATTAACCAGTGGAACCACCTGCCTCCAGAAGCGGTAAATGCTCCAACACTGGAAGTTTTTAAGAAGAGACTGGACAGCCATTTGTCCGAAATGGTGTAGGGTGTCCTGCCTGAGCAGGGGGTTGGACTAGATGACCTCCAAGGTCCCTTCCAACTTTATTATTATTATTATTATTATTATTATTATTATTATTATTATTATTATTATTATTATTATTATTATTTAACCTCACCGCCCTAGTCCATCCGGCCCCTTCAAATGGCCCAATCCCCAGGGACAAATCCACTGTGGGAACGGGGTTGTTAAGGCGCCGGTCCCAAGGCTGTCAGCGCCTCGCCACCTCGTCTTCCACAGGCAGAGATAAGGCGGATGGCGGGAGGCACATTCCATTTGCCCCCCCAGGCTGGCAGCAAGGGAAATCGATCAAAGAGCAAGTAGATAGAGGGAAGCAGAGAGGATACTTTGTAGCACCCATTGTTCCCCCCTCTCCAGCCAGGATTATGGCAGAACCTGCAAAAACAAAGAAATCACACAGACACACACACACACACACACACACACCCCTACTTAATTTCTACCTAACCACTTTTGTGGGTGAATTCCCCTTCTTCCTTATCACTTGTTTGATTAATGCAGACAATGCCAACAGCCGGACATTCTTTTCACCGCAGCCTCAATATTCTTTCGGCTGATTGACGGAGAATGAGGAAGGATGCCTCATTCCCACCGCCAGAATTGGAGGGACAGAATCCATGACATGTCACAATCAGCCACCCTGGCCATCTTCCCTGGTGCTGGAGTGGGGGGTGGAGGGGGCAGACCAGGGCGTCTAAACCGGCCCCCACCCCAAGCCGAATGAACTCTGGGGCGCAGTTGACAGCTGAGAGAAATAATTGATAAAACAGGGAGCAGATCCTCTGCACAAAAAGTCACGTGAGGTGAAAGTGGGCAAAGATTGTGAAAAACAAAAGAAAGGCTGGACTGTGACCCGGACCCAGGGGTCTCTCCCTCTTCTGTTGGCCACACGCCGATCGGCTTCGGAGAAATCGCAAGGTTTAATATTTGATAAGCTACAAAAAGAAAATCGAAGAACAGATGACAGGTGGAGAGACACACCTTGTCCCTGGCTGAGCCTGGACAAAGTCCCAGGTGTGCCTGCATTTTATGGCCCTGTTTGTACTTGGGAACCATCAACGGCTCACCTGAAGGTTCACAGTTCCTCGCCTTCTGGGAGGGGGCAAAGCTCTTCTAGGGCTGGTGGACCATGGGGCCCTGGGACCCCTCCCTCCTCTGCTGGCCACCCGCCAATCAGCTCTGGAGAAATCGCAAGGTTTAATCTTTGATAAGCTACAAAAGGGAAACCGAGGAACAGATGGCAGGGGGAGAGACCCATATCTTATCAGAACCCATATCTTAATGGGCCCATTTCCTCTTCCTAACCCAAACCTCACTCTCTTCTCTTCCTGGGTTCTGCCATACCCCTGAAGGGGAGGGGGGAATCCTTGCAGGTTATTGCCTTGACTTCCCCTATCGCTACAAAGTAACACTTTGCTGTTTCTGCATAATTCTTCGGTGAACTTTCTCTCCCCATTGTTGTCAGCTAGTAATGGGGGGGGGGGAGAAGAAAGGAATGTACCTCCCGCAACTGGTTTATCTCCGTGCTCGCAGCGAAAAGCCGACAAAACATCGCTGCAGCCCGGAGACGGCCTGATGTTATCTCCTTTTTCCCCACAATGGAGGTTAACACCTGGGGATTGGCTTGTTTGACCTGACCGGATGAACTATGGGGTGGGGTTTTGCTTGGGACACTTTAACCTTTCGATCTGAGCGGGAAACCCACAGATCCTGTCTATTCTGCTTGCTATCAACTTCTCCTAATAAAAGCTCCTTTTGGAAGAAACTGCTTCCATGAGTTCTACTTCCTTAGGATGATGTATTGAAGGGGCCCTGACATTAAACAAAGTGAGAAGAGGCCATCTCACCGCATACACTTTAAGAAAACTCGCCGAAACTGAACAGAGGTGGGCGGTCTGGGAAAAGGAGGCTTACGCAGTAAGATGGGCTCTTCTCACTTGGCGGCACTTTCTGGAGGGGAACAAAATTCCCTTCCAGGTATGGACCGACCACAAGAATCTGGAAGCGCTAAAGACACCCCCCCCCCCGCGAAAACCCACACCTAAACAAGCCCAGTAGTCGCAACACTTCCATCAGTTCAATTTCACCATAAAACACCTACCGGGTGGGGGGGGGAGAGAATTTCCTGGCAGACACTCGCTGTCCAGAATGCCACAATACAATAGAACCCGACCCGGCATAAAATAAACCCCTCATGCCAGAAACACAGCTGGCCGCACGAGTGACTACCTGAGCACAAGCCAAACTACAAAAACCATTAGCTCAGTGGTTCTCAACCTGTGGGTCGGGACCCCATTTGGGGTCGAACGACCATTTCACGGGGGTCGCCAAACAACGCAGTCCACCATTTTTCCCCCCTTTTCCTTAGCTGTGCTACTCCCTTTTATTCTATTGGCTTTTGAAAGCCCATAGAATAGACTCTCTTGAATAGAGTCTAATTCTATTGGCTTTCAAAAGCCAATAGGAATTGTCCAGGCTGTCTCTGCCCTGCTGAGCCCACCAAAAGTCCCATTCTGCAAACGGTGCTGCACCAGTTGAGTAGTCCTCGACTTACGACCGGTTGAGTAGTCCTCAACTTACAACTGGTTGGGGGGGTCATGGCATTAAAAAGGTTGAGAACCACTGCGTTAGCCAGTCAAGCAGCAATTGAATTCAGAAAAGCACTGGAAACAGATGACTGGCTTCTAAGTCACAAAACTCTGTGTGCCATCAGGTTGAACCTGGAGAAAGCCCCAGGTGCATTTTATGGCCGTTTGTACCTGGGATCCAGGAAGTGCTCACCTGCTTATGAAGGTTCACTGTTCCCAGCCTTCTGGGGGGACGCGGTCCAGGAGCTCTTCTAGGGCTGGTGGAGCTGCTGGGGACCCAGATTCACACTTGGGCCATGGATTCCTCCCTCCCTGTTTGGTTATCCCACCCCTAGTCTGTGGAATATGACTTAGGGCAGAGTGCAGGGCTAGGGTGGGGATAAGATCATCCAGATGGGGCTATAGAGCAGTGGTTCTCAACCTTTTTAATGACACAACCCCCCAACCGGTCGTAAGTCGAGGACTACTCAACTGGTCGTAAGTTGAGGACTACTCAACTGGTGCAGCACCGTTTGCAGACTGGGGCTTTTGGTGGGCTCAGCAGGGCAGAGACAGCCTGGACAATTCCTATTGGCTTTTGAAAGCCAATAGAATTAGACTCTATTCAAGAGAGTCTATTCTATTGGCTTTCAAAAGCCAGTAGAATAAAAGGGAGTAGCACAGCTAAGGAAAAGGGGGAAAAAATGGCGGACTGCATTGTTTGGTGACCCCTGTGAAATGGTCGTTCGACCCCAAATGGGGTCCCGACCCACAGGGTGAGAACCACTGCTATAGAGGGTGGATTGAGGGCTGTAGCCGGGCCGGCCTTGGCAAGAAGACCTTCTGATCTGAGGCAGGACACAAGGGGGGGGCAGCCAGGCTAAGGACTCTGCCAGGCAATTGGAAGGGGTGGGGGGGCAGAGGCAGAGCAGAAGGGGAGGGGCAGGATGGGAGGGGTCTGAGCAAGGAGGTCAGGCGGTCCTGGCTGAGGACTCGGCCATGGGGAACAGCTCCAAGTGAGGTGACTTTCAGTCCCCCCCTTTGCAAATGGATCCCGAAGCCCAGGCCTGGGGGGGACCCCAAAAGCCTCCGCTCAGCTCAGAGGGGAAACGGGTTCGGGTGTCTCTCTTCCTCCGAAGGAAAACCATCCAGGGAAATCTCCTCCAGTCCGGCCGGCAGGAAAAAAAAAACCTTGCATCCACTTTTTGGTCCCTCACATCAGACACACACAAAAAAGGGCCGAGATTCCAGAAAGAGGGAGAAGAGAAGAGTAATTGAAAAGATGAACGGCCCGGGGGCTAAAACGTACGATGGACGGTTGCAGGATTTGGGAATGGCCAATCTGGAGAAAGAAGGATTGGGGGAGGACGTGATAACAGCATTCCAGTATTTGGAGGGCTCCCCCCCCAAAAAAGGGGGGTGTTCCACCTATCCTCCAAAGCACCAGAGGGCAGAACAAGAAACGACAGGTGGAAACTCATCCAGCAGAGAAGCAACCTGGAATAAGCAAGAAACTTCCTAACAGCGAGGACAGTGTAACCGGTGGAACCGCTCGCCACCAGACGTTCTGGTTGCTCCATGACTGGAGGCTTTTAAGTAGTAGTTGGACAGCCAACTTGTATGAAATGGTCTAGGGCAGGGGTAGGCAATCCAAAACACTCAAAGAGCCACTTGGTCCCATTTCCCATCAAAAACAAAACACTGGGAGCCGCAAAACCCCTTTGATATTTAAAATGAAGATAACACTGCATATATCCTTTTTTACCTTTATTATAGGTGTATGTGTGTGTGTGTGTCTATGTGTGTCTGTGTTTGTGTGTGTGTATGTATGTGTGTGTGTGTGTGTGTATATATATACATACATACACACACACATACACATATACATACACACACACATACATACACACACAGGTAAAAAAGGATATATGCAGTGTTATCTACATTTTAGATATCAAAAGGGTCTCTCTCTCTCTCTCTCCCTCCCTCCCTCTCTCTTTCTCTCTCTCTCTTTCTCTTTCCCCTCTCCCTCTCTCCTATCTGCTGCTCACCTGGCAAGCTGGCTTCAAGCTGTTCTCCAACAAGCTCAGGGGTAGGCAACTCGGCTCTTTTATGACTCATGGACTTCAACTCCCAGAATTCCTGAGTCAGCATAGCTGGGCTAGCTAGCTCTCTCCTGCCCTTCCTGCTTCCTGCAGAGACGCAGCAAAGGGAGGAGCCCCGCCCAGTAAGCTTTTCAGCTCCTCGGAGAACACTGCAAGTGCACTCTTTTACACACACACACACAGAGAGAGAGAGAGAGAGAGAAGCAGGGAAGCACAATTGCCTCTCTCTGTCTCTGTCTCTCTCTGCAAATGGCAGAGGAGGCTGGGAGCCACAGGGGAAGACTCAAAGAGCCGCATGCAGCTCCGGAGCCGCAGGTTGCCGACCTGTGGTCTAGGGTCTCCTGCTTGAAGGGGGGGCTGGACTAGAAGACCTCCAGAGGTTCCTTCCAACTCTGTGGTTGTTCTGTTTTTTTTCCCCCTGCTATTCTCCGTTTGGCAGAGGGGGGAAGTCTCTGGCCTCAAAGTCCTACAGATCCACTCTCCAAGTCGTCCTCAAGAGATTTGTCAGAATCCCATCAGCAGGGCCCCCTGTGGCCCTTGGAGCCTTTTAGAGGTCGGAGGCTGAAAGCTTTCGAGGGAGACCCTCCATTCTGACCCCTCGTTCCCTGTACCTCTTCCCCTCTGCTTTGTGAGCGCGTTGCTGCATGGAGCTGGCTCAGCTGAGGGGACCTACCCGGCCAATCTCCCCCAAAACCCATGGCCTCATTCCTGAGCGAGGAAGAGATTTAATAAGAAGGTTTCAGGCTGAAACAGACTTTATTTCGCTCGTGAGTCCCCATTAGGCATTGGAAGGTGGCATGGAAGAGTACAGAGACGGCCTTGCAGGACACACGTGGCAGCCGTATAAGGAAAACGTGAAATCACCCCGGGAAAACAGGAACGGGTGAGAAAGAAGCTCAAGGCTGCCCTGCCTTGATGTTCTTTGTTCTGTTTTTTTTTAAAGTTTTTATTCATTTTTCATACAATTCAGTAGTACTTATTCCACAAACGTGTTGTCTGAGTTTTTTCTTCTTCTTGTGCCATATCCATTCTCGGACGTCGGCGATCAGGTGGGCGATCCAGAGTTTATGTCTGAGTTTATCCTTCAGTAATGCAAATTTAATTCCTAATTCTTTCTTCTTTTCTCCAGCCACTTGTTAAACTAAGTCCCAAGTTTGACGGCATTAGTCAGGTACACATTATCGAGTGTGGTGGACGTGTGTTAAAAGCAAAGGGGTATCGGATGAAAATACACACTCGGCTAGAAAAGTGGTTGGGAAAACATGTACATTTTTTAAACCTGAACTTTTATTATTAATTATTTTATTATTCATTTTTATTAGCAGTAGCTGTACCCAGCCACGCGTTGCTGTGGCTCAAGAAAGAAAGGAGAATGCACACCTTTGTAATATGTTTAATTTCATCATGCTTGTGGGTATACAACATTTTTTGTTGTTCCATTGTGTGTGCAGATGTAGAGATTACGTCCAACAGATGGCGCTGTTTTTCCAAAAAAGGCTGTTTTTACCTGTTTTGCAAAAAAGCACATTTTACCTGTCACAGGTGTGACTTCTATATACTATAGGTATATACAAACACGCACGTATTTGAATGCAACATTGTGTCCAAATTTCAAAGCAATCGGTGAAGAACTTTCGGAGATTTAGGATTTTGAACAAACGAACATTTTTATTTATATAGATAATGAGAGAAACAACGTGTATCCTTGATTCCACATGGGATAACGGCAGCAAGAATCATATTCGCACAACACTGGGGAAAAAAATGAAGAAATACCACCAGAGGAAGGAGTAATTTAAAAAATACTACAATGTGTGGAAACGGACAGACTTACTTTGAGGTTGAAAGAAAAAGAAGAAACATGAATTCACCCCAGGAAAACAGGAACGGGTGAGAAAGAAGCTCAAGGCTGCCTTGTCTTGATATTCTTTGGTGCCAGCGGGAATGAATGGGAGACGTTTTCAAGATTCTGCTACTACGATACCAATAAAGTCTAACATTTCTTATGTCAGGGGTTTCTCAGCCTGGTCTACCTCAAAGGATTGACAGATGGGGAAGTCCCAAAGAAAATATGTGGCAGCTGTTAGGAAAACATGAATTCACCCCAGGAAAACAGGAATGGGTGAGAAAAAAGCTGAAGGCTGCCTTGTCTTGATATTCTTTGGTGCCAGCGGGAACGAACGGGAGACGTTTTCAAGATTCTACTACTATGGTACCAATAAAGTCTAACATTTCTTATGTCGGGGGTTTCTCGGCCTGGTCTACCTCAAAGGATTGAGAGATGGGGAAGTCCCAAAAAAAATACATGGCAGCTGTTAGGAAAACATGAATTCACCCCAGGAAAACAGGAAGGGGTGAGAAAGAAGCTCAAGGCTCCATCGTCTGGATGTGCTTTGGTGTCAGCGGGAACAAAGGAGAGACCACTTTCAGGATTCTGCTGGTATTCTCTATATCGAATCAAGCCGAGCTTTAATATTCCTTGTGATGGCAGTTTCCTGGTCTGGTCTACCTTGAAGGACTGATGGGTGGGAAGCCCCAAACGGAGTGTCCTTCCAGAAGGACCTGGATTCAGGATGGTGGAGATATAGGCTGTGGGGCCGATTGAGGGCAGGAACTTCCCAGGCCCTGTCGTCTGAAGGGAGAAACTGGGTTCTCGGCAGAAGGAATCGGCTCAGGGTGACTCCGCCACGAATCTCGGACTCGGCGTCTTGGGCTGGATTAGAACTCTGAGCAGAAGGGGGGAAACGCAGGGCAGAGTGGGCCCCTTGGAGCAGAAGATCAAGTAGAGAGTCTTTCCAGTGTCCATTAGAGCAGAGGTCCCAAATCTTTTGGGTACCAGAGACCGGTTACGTGGAGACAGATTTTTCCACGGACCGGAGAGTACGTGGTTTTGTGTGCTGCCTGCATCCCGCAGATGGGGCTTTGCTTTTTTTTTTTTTTTTTTTTTGCGGACCGGTTGCTGGCATGGCCCGGTCTAGTACCGGTCCACAGACCGGGGGTTGGGGACCGCTGCGTTAGAGAAAAGACCACCAGGAGAAGCCATATATCTCTTTGAAGTTGTTTATGTCTGCCTTCGGCGTGTCTTCCAGTAGGTCCGTTAGAGAAGAGAACACCAGGAGTAATTTCTCCCTTTATACTGCTCTTCGTCTTTCTTCATCATGGCCTCCGTGTAATAATTTGCCCCTTTGTTCTTCTCCACCAGCTCATCAATCATGGTCATCAATTCGGCCATCTGTTCCTCCCGCTCTTCGCCTTTGGCCTTGTTGTTGAAAGCCAGGTAGTGGTTCCCGCACTGGGCCAGCTGTTCCCGAAGCGAGGCGTCTCCCTTGGAGAGAAATTCCTCCAGGGTTTGCCCTTCCAGGTCATCTTTCCGGGTGAACAAGGTGATCATGTAATTCTTGGCGTTCAAGCTGAAGATCTCCTTGATCAGCTTGGCCACGTCTTTCTCCTCCTGGGAGAAACGGCCTGGACGCATCACCTGCAGAATGACGTGCGGGCCCGGGACGCACATGCTCACGCACTTCTTCACTTCGGCAGCCGTTACCCGCCCGGGGACCTCGGTGTCGAAAAAGCCCGGCGTATCAACCACCACAATCTTCCGGCCTTTCGACCACGTCTCCTCTTTCTGGCACGTCTGCGTTATCGACTTAGAGGACATCCCAAAGTTAAAGATGTCGGCTCCTAGGATGGTGTTTCCCGTTGCGCTTTTCCCGTTGCCGGTTTTGCCCACCAGGACGATCCTCCGTTCGGGCCCTGCAATGCAAAGGGGAGAGGAGACACAAAAGGGGAGCCGGTCATCAGCGTACAGCCATCATCCCTGTGAGGGACCAGCCAGTTAGCTGGGAACTGTATGTTAGAATGTTTGGCATTTAAAGGTTAAGCGCTGTCTCCTTAAGAGATGGCTTATGGGTAATGTAGTTTAGCTGTTCAGTGACTCCTACAATTATCCAGTTAAGGGGGAGGAGTTTCAAAGTTATGGCAGGACCCCCTGTTACGTGTCTGGGTAAAGGCATGCCTTTGTGTAAAACCAGCAGGGGATGCATGGAGGGATAGCGTCTACAACCACGCTAAAGCTGATATGAAGGAATTACTGTTTTTGCCTACGTAAAATGGACAAGTGTACACATCCGGACGCATCTTGAGAAAGTACGTTCTGCTAAGAATTCCTTGGAATAAATATTTGTTTTACGACCATTTTGTCGTTGAGTTTATGCCGTCTGGACCCGAACTACAAAGCATCTTAGTTTGGGTTCCAGAACAATCAGAGCCTGTCCCTCCACCCAGGACAGTGAGACCCCCCCTCTCCACTGTACCCCCCAGGGGGGAGGCCTTACCTTTGATGCTTCCAGCCATTTCCAGAAGATTCACGCGGGAGAAATGTCAAGATTTCTGCATGAAAAGAGAAACGGACTCAGCCAACGGAGACACGGGCCTTGCTCAGATGTTGACAGGAACTTTCTCCCCCACCCCCGGAAGATACAGGCAGGAATTGGAGGGGGGGTTAAAAGAGCCCCCCTGACCTTGAGGCAGAGTCATCCTGATCCCTGTCTGCCCCACCCACTTTGTGGCTTCAGAAAAGGTGGGCATTGATCCCCAAAGGGGATGCTTCAGCCGATCCCGCTGCAGTTCCAGCCCGCCTCAACCAATCGATCAGAATAAAGCTGGAAGGGACCACGGGGGTCTTCTAGTCCAACCCCCTGCTCGAGCAGGAGACCTTTGCAGAATCATAGAAGGACAGGGCTGGAAGGGGTCTTAGAGGTCTTCTAGTCCAGCCCCCTGCTTTGTTGCTCTTCTCTGAGCTTTTTCCTAGAGTCTCAGTGTCTTTGTTTGTAATGGGGGAGACCCAAACTGGTTGCAGGTACTTACTCTCCCATCTGGTGGACGTGCCCTAAAGCTGAAAAGATTCTGGTCCAAAACAGACGTACAGTTAGAGAAAACGATTCAAAAGCACGTAAGTTTTAAGCCAGAATTGTTTTTTTGTTCGGCATAGTAATAGGAAACGGTGAGAAAGGATGCACAGAATTCATTTTACATGTATCGTCCACAGCAACAGTAGCATTCATTCGATATTGCGGGGGGAAAAGATGAAAATCTACCCACAGCGGAAGAATTAATCAAGTAAATCTTAAGACAGCGCAGAAATGAACAGGTCGACATGGCAGAGGAAAGAGAAAGAAGACACAGTGTCCTTCAGAACAGGGGAGAAATTTTATCACTGGCTAGAAAAACGAGAAGAGAAGATTGAAGAAGGAAATTATTAACGAACAGATTGATTAGGAAAATATAGAAGCTAATTATTACGGATGTTTTTTTTTTAAACACGTGAATCCAGACAATATGCTGTTTGCGAAATACTGAAGAATGTTATAAAAATTAAATATACATATATATATACTTAAAAAGAAACAATTGAACATCACACTTAGCTTATACACACACACACACACACACACACACACACACACACACACACACACGAACACACACAAAACCGGTTGCCTTACTAAAGCTTTGTAGAGTGGTGCTAGTCCCTCGTGCCATCTTGGCTGAATCCCCCTCTTAAAGCAAGTCAGCATTGCTAAGGCTTTTTTTGGCTGGCTCCCATTGAATTGATTGTCTGTAAGACTCTGAGATTCCCCATCCCAGTTACTGCTATGAAACCTGATTTCACCCAATCGGGGGCTGGACTAGAAGACCTCCAAGGTCCCTTCCAGCTTCCATTCTATTCTATTCTATTTTATTCTATTGTTCTGTTCTATTCTATTCTATTAATTCTCTATTCTATTATATTCCTTTTCTATATTCTATTCCATATTCTATTCTATTCTATTCTATTCTATTCCATTCCATTCCATATTCTATTCTATATTCCATTCCTTATTCTATTCTATTCTATTCTATTCTATTCTATTCTATTCTATTCTATTCTATTCTATTCTATTCTATTCTATTCTATTCTATTCCTTTTCTATATTTTATTCTATTCCATCCCATTCCATTCTATTCTATTCTTATTTCCTATTCTATTCTGTTCTATTCTATTCTATTCTATTCTATTCTATTCTATTCTATTCTATTCTATTCTATTCCTTTTCTATATTCTATTCTATTCCTTTTCTATATTCTATTCTATGCTATTCTATGTTCTATTCTATTCTATTCTATTCTATTCTATTCTATTCTATTCCTTATTTCTTATTCTATCCTATCCTATCCTATCCTATCCTATCCTATCCTATCCTATCCTATCCTATCCTATTCTATTCCTTATTTCTTATTCTATTCTATTCTATTCTATTCTATTCTATTCTATTCTATTCTATTCTATTCTATTCTATTCTATTCTATTCCTTTCCATTCCATTCTTTCCTCCCTTTGGGTTTTTTTCTTGCCTGAGTTGAAGACTTTACTTTTCATTGGCGCCCCCACCCCCCACCCCCACCCCCGTCCTCATGGTTAGAGGGTCTCCTGCTCGAGCAGGGGGCTGGACTAGACGACCTCCGAGGTCCCTTCCGACTCTGTTAACCCTATGTTTCTCTCAGGGTCTCCTGCTGGAGCAGGGGGCTGGACTAGAGGACCTCCGAGGGCCCTCCCGACTCTGTTAACCAACTGATTCTCTCAGGGTCTCCTGCTGGAGCAGGGGGCCGGACTAGACGACCTCCGAGGTCCCTTCCGACTCCGTCAACGCGATGGTTCCGTCGGGGTCTCCCGCTGAAGCAGGGGGTCGGACTAGACGACCTCCGAGGTTCCCTCCGATTGCGTTAATGCCCTGCCCGACCCGGAGCCCCAAGGCTTTCCTCAAAGGCAGCCCCCTCCCCACATTTCATCCTCGTCCCTTTCCGCATGGACGGCTGGAGGAGACCCCCCCAGACCCTCATCCAGCTTGCGGGAGGGGGGGGAAGGAATCGCCCCCTCCCCGTTTTCCAGCCCTGGAGATAAGGGGGGGATACCAACCTGGGACCCTCCTCCAGGAGGCAGCTGATAGGTGGATGGGTGAGTGGGTGGCTGAGTGGGTGGGTGGGCTTCGCCGCCGCCTCCGCTCTCCTGCTTCCCCCCAGGCGCTCCGAGTCGCTTCTGCTCCTCCGCGAAGGGCCGGGCCAAAGGTATTCCTCCGGGTGGGTGGGGCGGGCGGGGCGCTCCGGGGGGGCGGAGTCACCTTTCCTCTCCCCCCCCCCGATTAGTGAGATTCCTAGAGCCCCCCCCCCCCTTTCGCCTCCTCCCAGTTCCTCTTTGGCTTCTTCCCGGAGTCTGGTGTGTGTGTGTGTGTGTGTGTGTGTGTGTGTGTAGGGTCAGCATTGAATCCCCCTCCCCAGGTAGAATAGAATATAGAATAAAGTATAGAATATGGAATATGGAATATGGAATATGGAATATGGAATATGGAATAAAATAGAATAGAATAAGGAATAGAATAAGGAATAGAATAGATATTGGAATAAAGAATAGAATGAAATATGGGAATGAGGAATAGAATAGAATAGAATAGAATAGAATAGAATAGAATAGAATAGAATATGGAATGAAATGGAATATAGAATAGAATAGACTATGGAATGGAATATAGAATAAAATAGAATATGGAATGGAATAGAATATGGAATAGAATAGAATAAGGAATAGAATAGATATTGGAATAAAGAATAGAATGAAATATTGGAATGAGGAATAGAATAGAATAGAATATGGAATGAAATGGAATATAGAATAGAATAGAATAGAATATGGAATGAAATGGAATATAGAATAGAATAGAATAGAATATGGTATGAATAGGAATATAGAATAGAATAGAATAGAATATGGAATGAAATGGAATATAGAATAGAATAGAATATGGTATGAATTGGAATATAGAATAGAATAGAATAGAATAGAGAATGTAATGGAAATAGAATGTAATAGAATAGAATAGAATAGAATAGAATAGAGAATAGAATAGAATAGAATAGAATAGAATATGAATAGAAAGAATATGGAATATGGAATATGAATAGAATAGAATAGAATAGAATAGAATAGAATAGAATAGAATAAGAATAGAGAATGTAATGGAAATAGAATGTAGATAGAATAGAATAGAATAGAATAGAATAGAATGGAATGGAATGGAACGGAACGGAACGGAATAGAATAGAATAGAATAAAGATGGAAGAATAGTAGAGAACAGAACAGAATAGGAATAGAAAATGGAATGGAATGGAACAGAACAGAATAGAATCTGGAAGGTATTCTGTCAATCCCCCCCCCGGCTCCCTCCCCCCCCGCTAGCCTTTTCCAAAATCTTTTCCCTATCTATAGATAGATAGACAGACAGACAGACAGACATAACCTTTATTGTCATTTTTTTTACTCTGGGCACAATGGCGCCCATTAACAACGGAATTTAGTCGCTTGTCTTCCAAGTCTATCCATACACAACCCACATTTAAATCCACTCTATACAACCTAGGCATAGAGTCTACACCAGCGGTTCTCCACCTGTGGGTCGGGACCCCATTTGGGGTCGAACGACCATTTCACGGGGGTCGCCAAACAACGCAGTCCCCTTTTCCTTAGCTGTGCTCCTCCCTTTGATTCTATTGGCTTTCAAAAGCCAATAGAATAGACTCTCTTGAATAGAGTCTCATTCTATGGGCTTTCCAAAGCCAATCGGAATGGTCCAGGCTGTCTCTGCCCTGCTGAGCCCGCCAAAAGTCCCATTCTGCAAACGGTGCTGCACCAGTTGAGTAGCCCTCGACTTACGACCGGTTGAGTAGTCCTCGACTTACGACCGGTTGGGGGTCGCGGCATTAAAAAGGTTGAGAACCACTGGTCTACACCCTTCCATATAAGTCACATCTAAGCAGGAACCCCTGTCCATCTTGAATACATCTTGCATATTAGGTCTGTTTCTTTTCAATAGGTGCAGGTGGGGCTGGTGGGACACCGCCCCCCTCCCCAGAAACGGGGTCTGCCCCACTTGGGGGGGGGGGCATTGGGCCTTTCTGTGAAATAGTGGAGATCCTTCTCGCTGCAGATTTTATTCGTGGGCTTCATCTCGCCAAGTGTGCTCAACGGCAGCGATATCAGGGCTCGGACTTTAGGGGGGACCCCTATTTGCTCCTCACACTTTTGCGCTTGGGTGTATGGGGAGTTGAGTCCTTTTGGAAAGGGACCCTGTCTATCAAAAAAAGCTATCCACGCCACCCCTTCTTCTTTATCACGTCTCCGATCAGCACAGACAACATCCAACAACCTGGTTGTCTTTTAACCACAGCCACATTATTCCCTCTCCTGCTGGCCACACGCCAATCAACTTCGGAGAAATCACGAGGTTTACGCTTTTGAGAAGGAATTGAAAGTGAATCTCAGCAAGAGGTGAAACGGAGCAGCGCCCAGGTGGAACCTGGACAACAAGGTCAGGGGAGGCAAAGATGGGCAAAGGCGGAATAGAATTATTTAGAATCGTTGGAGGTCGTCTAGTGCAATGCCCTGCCCAAGCACAGTTTTTCTATACTAAGAAGTATAGAGAGAATAGAATAGAATAAGGAATAGAATAGAATAGAATAGAATAGAATAGAATAGAATAGAATAGAATAGAATAGAATAGAATAGAGAAAAGGAATAGAATAGAATAGAAGAGAAGAGAAGAGAATATATAATGAATAGAATAGACTATAGAATGAACAGAACAGAATAGAAGAATTAGAATAGAATAGACCATAGAACGAATAGGATAGAATAGACTATAGAACAGTGGTTCTCAACCTTTTTAATGCCGCGACCCCCAACCGGTCGTAAGTCGAGGACTACTCAACCGGTCGTAAGTCGAGGACTATTCAACTGGTGCAGCCCTGTTTGCAGAATGGGACTTTTGGCGGGCTCAGCAGGGCAGAGACAGCCTGGACAATTCCTATTGGCTTTGGAAAGCCAATAGAATTAGACTCTATTCAAGAGAGTCTATTCTATTGGCTTTCCAAAGCCAATAGAATAAAAGGGAGTGGCACAGCTAAGGAAAAGGGGGGAAAAAATGGCGGACTGCGTTGTTTGGCGACCCCCGTGAAATGGTTGTTCGACCCCAAATGGGGTCCTGACCCACAGGTTGAGAACCACTGCTATAGAATGAACAGAACAGAACAGAAGAATTAGAATAGAATAGACTATAGAACGAATAGGATAGAATAGACTGTAGAATGAACAGAATAGAATAGAATAGAATATAGAATGAATAGAATAGAGCATAGAATGAACAGAATAGAAGAATTAGAATAGAATAGAAGAATACAATAGAATAGAATATAGAATGAATAGAATAGATGAATTTGAATAGAATAGGATAGAATAGAATAGAATATAGAATGAATAGAATAGACTATAGAATGAAT